AACCAAACGTCATATCTTATTAACAAAAATTTATATAATATTTTTTTTTTCTATTTATAAAGTTAAAATTCAAATTTTATTTTAAAAAATTTAAACCATTTTCATTCGAATTAATATATCTCTATTATCTCTTTTTGCGCCTTAATAACACAGTAGCTTACGAGCCATGGCATTGTCACTGGATGTGGGACCCACTACACACAGATTAGGACGAGCATAAACAAAAGGGAGAGAAAAAAAAGATAAATTAAATTTAAAAAAAAATACTGAAATTTTCAAAAAGGAAAATAAATCTATTCATTTCCACATTTGACCGACTGTACACGCTTTTTGTTTTTTATTTGATTTCATTTAAGTCTTTTTTCTTCTTCTTCTTCTCCGTTTTTAGGGTTTTCGTTTCTTTCTCTTCATTTTTTTGACTCCGGAAATTTAAACATCTCTACCGGCACGGGACGCTTCTCCATGTAAGACTCTGTCTCTCTCTCTCTCTCTCTCTGTCTCTCTCATTATTTTTAGGGTATTCTTTTTCCAGCTTTTATTTGCTGTTGTTCTGCTGCTTCGTTTTGTTGCTGTAGCATGTAGACTTGGTGGAATTTTTGTGCTTTTTTTTTATTTGATTATGATGGGCAATTTTTATTTACCAATTTTGGGTTTGTATATGGTTTGGTTGGGGAATGTTTTGGAATATAAATTGTGATGGGGGGCCAAGGGTTGATTTGGGTGCTTCTGTTTTTGGTACTGCAGGGCATCCAAGATTGGGCTTTTGAGGTAATTCTGAGGAAGATATTTAGTTTGCAGGATGGGGTTTTGGGCTATGCTGTTTTTGCATTCGGAATAGCGGTTCTAGGGTTTGGTTTTGGTTCTTCGATGGAGACAAGTTTCATATCCCTGTGAACTAGTTGGTTCCATTTGAGCTTGGATTTCAAAGCTATTGTGCATAGTTTTGAAGCTTCTGAGTTGCTTGATTCTGTATTTCTCTGGCTATATAGAAAATATCCAGACTTGGTTGGTTGAAGCTTGTGGGTATTGGATTTTGGGGTTTTATTTGATCTTTTGGGTTGTTGTGAAAGATTGCTGCTGGCAATTGGTCTTGTATTGAGGCTCTGGGTTTTCTGCTGAAGCTTTTTAATGGTGTGACTTCTTGATGTCTGGAGAAAATCTTGACTTGGTTGATTGAAGCAACTTGGTATTCAGATTTTGAAGTTCATTGAATCTTTTGAGTTGCTTTGGAAAAATTGATACTGTTGTTTGAGCCAGACTGAAGCTTGAGAGGTTCTTTCTTTTTCTTAAATCTTGTGAATTGGTTAGACTTTTTGGGTGTTCGGGAAATTAGGCATCGCACTGTTGGAGTTTGGACTGAGTCATTTAACATGGATAACTCAAAAAACCGGCCTAATGATCATTTGGGTGTGAACAAACTGGGAAAGAATATAAGGAAGAGCCCTTTGCACCAACCCAGTTTTAATAATAATAATAATGCTGCAAGGCAGCAACCTCAGCCTCAGGTTTACAACATAAGCAAGAATGAATTCCGGAATATTGTACAGCAGCTAACAGGTTCATCTTCGCAAGAACCTTTGCCCAGGCCTCCACAGCTACCCAAATCTCAGAGCCAAAGATTGCAGAAAATTAGGCCTCCCCCATTAACACCAATCAACCGACCAATCATTCCTTCTCAGGTTCCGGTCCATGTTCCTGCCCCAGCTCCAATGCCACCTCCAGTTCTGCCACAAGCTCCTTACAACCCTGGCTTAGCCAGGCCTGCGCAATTCGGACAGCCATCGCCTACAATGGTGCAACCATTCATACCTGGAGACTCAGTTTGGGGAAATGCAGCAGAATCACCTCTCTCAGCTTATATGCGCTACCTTCAAACATCCATTTTTAGTCCAAGTCCAGTTGGAGGCCAAGTTCAACCTCATCTTCAGCCTCCTGTTCCAGGTCAGCCTCAAGCTCAGCCACCCTCTTCTGGTTTACTTCCTAATCCACCCATGCCTCCTTTCCCCTCCCCAAGAGGAGTTAATGGCCCTGTAGCACCTATGCCTGGTCTTCCTTCTCCACGAATGAATGGTCCCCTCCCACCAATGCCTAATATCCCTTCACCAAGAATGAATGGACCTGCCCTTCTCCCCTCTCCAACTTCTCAGTTTCTTTTGCCCTCACCTGGTGGTTACGCCAATTTCCTGTCCCCTTATCCCATGTTATCTCCCGGTACTCAGTTCCCTCCAATGACACCTAGTTTTCCTTTCTCACCCTTTTCTCAGTCAGGTATTTTAGGTCCAGGGCCTCAGCCTCCACCTTCTCCTGGTTTGGTCTTTCCATTATCACCTTCAGGGTTTTTTCCCATCTCAAGTCCCAGATGGAGGGATCATTAGTATAAAACGTGCCATTGTAGCTTTCAGGAGTTCCATGCTTGCTTAGGAAACAGGATCCCTTGCAGGCTGGTCTTCCCTTAATGGGGCTGCATGTGTGCAAATATAATGTATACTAGGGGTGTAAGAGATCCTCTTCTGAATCTGTAGACTTGTTTTTGTTTTATCAATTTCTTACTCACTTTTGTTTTTGTCTGATCTCCTGTTATGTTGATACCCATTTCACAACTTCCTCTTGGAGCTAAGATTTTGTGACAGCAGCACCATTTTGTATTCTTGGACAAGTTCTTTTTAGGAAATAGTGGAAGGTTGGACAGGAGCTGTAACAAGAAAGACAGATATAACTCCTAAGGAGGTAGGATTACAGTCATCTAAATCTTGGAGTAGGCGAGCTAGGGGAGGAATTCTTGTGTATCTGAATCTGTAGTGTTGTATCAGTTTGAACTACCAAAATAATTTTTTTCCTTATTGTTTATTAATTACTAGCCTGTGGAAATAAATTCTTCAAGTGTTATTATCATTGGTAGAAAAATTCTTAGAGCATCATTAATGCTGGCAATTCCTTTTGTCTTTGCTATTTTCGTGTGGAATAGGGCTTTGATTGAGTCCCAACAATGATTTATACGCGTATATTTTGAGTTGTACAATGAGAAAACAAACTCTATTTTTTTGTCATATATAATTTAAATAAAAAATCTCTTATTTCTCTAAAAACGAGACTGTTATTAGGTATTTTCAGTCAAATTATTAGCAACTTAATAATTGCCGTATTGTCAGAAGTCAACAAAAAAGGGTGGAGATAATAATGCGTCGTGTTGGGTTGGGTCCAAATAAGAAAATTTACAGAGAACCAAAACAAGAGAAAAGTTAAAACAGTCAGAGATTTTGAAGTCAAAATTGGAACTGGCGGTGTCAAACGGGCTGTTTGGTGTTTAAGTGTCTTTGTTGACGGATTGACCTTACCCTTAAAATAAATTGGGCCGTGGAGATGGAGGTGCTTGTAATGTTATTTTATTGGACATGGGTTCTACAGTCATCTACATTCTATTGCCAGGAAAGGTTTAGGAATTTCCTTTTCCTTTTCCACATTGGATTGTTATGTATATATATGTCGACTTTCTCTACCTCAAGACTTTCTTAACCCAGTAGAAATAATATATTGGGTTGAATCAAAAAAATTTTTTTTCTCAATCAAATGAAATTATATGACCATATATTAAAAAATAAAATTTCAATTAATATGATTTAGTGTGATTTACATATTATAAAAAATATTACTTAAAAATATAAACAAAAAATTAAATTACTTATATTTTAAATTGAAAATACTATTTTACAGTCCACCTTTTTACGTCACTTTTCTGTTTTAAAATAAAGTGCGTTGTAAGTTTTTTTTTTTGGTACATAAGAGGCTATTTGAGCTTAATATCTAAGGGACATGGCCCCAGTACAATCACTTTCCAGGATCATGCTAATACCCGTTGGGGGTGTTGGGAAGAAGGTTGTACCCAAATCGACAGTATGCCCAATAGACGCCATAAAATCAGCAGCATAGTTACCTTCCCTTAGAGTGTGCTGCACCAAGCAAGAGCTAAAGGAGTAAAGTAGCAAGCAGATATCATTAAGAAGAACTGACGCTGCACCGTGCGTTGTAAGTTAAAGCACATAAAGTCATGCTTTGTTTTTTTTTTTTTTAATGGGCAAGTTGTAGGCACACGAATTGGCCCTTTGGCATACCAAAGGAGGCATGTCGCTCTCCATACACTTAATTGAATGGTGGGGGAAGAGCCGTTCCTGTGGTCCTGTAGTCTTGACTTTAGAGAATTCCATCATCCCCCCCCTTTTTTTTTTAATTTTCCCTCAGCCCCCAAGTTGTTGTTTATTAATTTTTTAAAGTCTAGCTAGTTGTAGACTCTCAATCACATCCTTCCCATTTCCAATCCGTGTTGACATGTGCTCCTAATCTCCAAATCTTCCATCCATCTACTTGTTTTGTCCAATCCCAATCCGATTGAGTATCAAATAAGGATCCATGTTTACACCATACACTAGCTAGTACATTTTATGGTTTTTATTAAGGTTGTTGGTAGTAAGAAAAAAACAAAATCCTTTGGGTTTAGCCTCATTTAAAATTGATTAATTTGTTTTAATTATGATAATCTTTGTCCCCACACACACATATATATGGCTCTTACCACCTTAAAAATGTAAACATTAAATATACGAGCTGAAATACAAATCGAGTAGTTAATCTGTCTATATATCTTGGCATTGAATAGCTATATCTTAGAGTAGACGTGGCTGAATTTCATCTGTACATTATGGTATTTAGGAGAGTGTTGCCGTTCCACCTAACGTAGAAATTGTATTGGGCTATTTGTTTGGATACGTCCCAATCCCAAATCTGAATCGCTGAATGAAAACTCGACAACATGATCTAGATGTTGACACTGTGTGCATGTTTTGAAATGGTGATGGCCCAATACAACAATTAATATATGTTCATATTCATATCTTATGTAACAATATAGTGAAAGAGCCAACAAACACATAGCCGAAAAATAAAGTATATATGATGGATCGATCGATGTTGCCCCACCACATTTTAAATCATCAATCATCGTATTAGTATCTGTTTGGTGTGACTGAAGTTTTTAATAGAAGTTCTGTTAAAAAAAATTTATTGTAGAAGTGTTATTTTTCTAAATAGAAAGAAAAATAATGATAAAATAAGAATAGTGTGTTAATTTTATTAAAATCCAAATGAGAAACTCCTGCAGAAGTATCAATTCAGTGCTTTTGAGATTTACAATGAAATTGACAAAATACTAATGTGTGAAAAGTTGCAGTATTTTTCATAAATTATAGTGTTTGGTATAATTGAAACTTTTGAAATTTAAAATGACTTCCTATCAACTATACCAAACATAACTATAGTGTTTTGTATGTTACAGGCGTGGTTATAATCACATGGAAAAGTATTAGATTATACATAAATTAAATATATATAAATAAAGATATAAATTTTTTATTTTTTATTTAAGAATATAAATTTTTAAAAATTTTAAATTAAGTAATAAATTTTTAATTACATTTCTTTCTAAACAATAATATGAACTCTACTTTGTTTCTATTTAAGAATAATGATGATGATATGATAAATGACAATTTTAATTGAAATATAAAAAAATATATATATTTAAAAAAAAGTAAAAACCTAACACATTCATATCCTTAAATAAAAAAACAAAAAAATACTTATCCTTATTTAAACCTTTTGTCCAAAAATTATCATTTTTTAATATAAACAACTAGTTATAATATTTAAAAATATTAGTATATAAAGTAATTTTAACATATTAAGTAATAAGTATCAATAATCTTGTCACATATTAGCTAATAATTGCTAGTTGTTTTTAACAATTAAATTAAGTCAATATTTTAAAATACAATATATAAAAAATTATTTAGTCTTTGCACTTTTAAATATAATCATAACCATTGCCATATATTACCTTCCAATTAACTACCATCCTTTAGCAATAGCTAGCTACATAGTGTTAGTCAATTAATGTTGAATACTGAATAATGACAATAATAAACAGGAGATCCAACTGCTCACTCTCAACCGTTGGTGGCTCAAAATAGAAGGTCAAGATCGTTAACTTACCACAATTAGCTTGCCTCCCCGGAAATCATATTCCTCGCTCATATACTTCGCATATTTTTAAGCCCTGTCTCCACAGGACCATAAACATTATGTTCCACTTTGTATACATTTTTCTGTATATTTTGTGTTGTTCAACAATTGACTTTTTGAGTTTTTTAATTCTATCAATACTCATAATATTATATATATTTATTAGTTTAATAATATATAAAAATTAAATAAAATTTCATTTATTTATAAATTTTGTATATTACAATTATATAAAATTTTAACTATTTATTTTTTAACTTTTAATAGTTAATATTTATTTATTTATTTTATTATACTTATTAAAGATATTTATCTTTTTGTATATCAGTTTTTTTTGTATGGAATGATCAACTTAGAGCAAATTGATAAACAATAAGGACCAAATTAGGAGTTCGTACAATATTCATGACTAAATCAAGAATTTTTTTAGTTTAAAAACTAAATCAAGAATCTCTACAATAATTCAGGGATCAAATTGAAGATTTAACCTTATCTTTTTTACCTAAAAAATCTTAATAAATCTTAACTATTAAAATCTTAAACCATTAAAGGTAAAAAATAAATATTTGAAATTTTATATAAATATAATATATAAAATTTGTACTTAAATAAATTCTTGTCCGTAAAAATTATATAAAAAATTTATAAAATAAATTATTCACGTATCATTCATTGCTCTCTACATAAATGGACAAAGGAAGCTCCGGTTTCTCTCAGACGTTTGTAAATATATATGTAAGATAGCAAAAGATGCGACATCTAGGGGTTAATTGGACCATATTCCTTCGTAAAAGACAGAAATTTAATTAGTATCAACCATGAACAAGCAAGACCGAAAACGAAAGGGTAAAGAAGAGGACATTATAATTTATAAATACCAGTTTGTTTAACATACAATATAAGAGTAAACGGTTAGAAACATTTCACACATCTTCTTCATTTTTCTTGTTAATTTCAGATAGAAACTTACAAAAAAAAAAAAGAAAGAGGTAATTTGGTTACTGAATTGTAGTTTGAAAGTTGAAACAATGGTTAAAACAATAGTTTAGTTCCATTACCTGAGAATAATTTTTGAAAGATTTCATCCTGATTTGTTGGATCAAATTTGAATTTTTAATTTGTACCACAAATTCTGCACCCACCACTCTTTATCCCAAATTCTGCATATGAATAAGAGTACGATGTTTTGTAATTTAGACAATAAACATCATTGAATAAGAAAAAAACTTTAATATAAGAGAATTCACCCATCTAACAGTAATAGTATGATTGGAATGAGGAAAGGTGGAACAGAAGAGAAAGATTTTTAATCAATCATTATAAATTGGTTAAAAATATTGGTTAAAATCTTTTTTTTTTTCTTTTTTTTAAAAATTTATTTTAATCAAAACATATTGTAAGTGGTATATAATTTGATTCAGTTTAGATTGTATAACATTTTTTATTATTAATAAAACAAGCATGTTTAAAAGGGAAAAATTATCAACAAAAACAAAAATGAAATGCATAAAATCCTTGAAATTCAAGACAACAACTTCTGTACATGTGCCTTGACTCAATTGCCCTTGCATTCTTTTTACATTTCCAACATGGCATCCCAGTCAAAGGATATTCTGGTAATTCACAAAATCACCAGAATAAATCGAAACTCACTAAACCAACATAGGATTTAATTTTTTTTTTTCTAAAAAAAAAAGGGGAAATTCAACGGTTGTTTTTCGCCTGCGTATTTGAAAATATTTTTTTTCGACATCACCTGTTATTTATTCCCGTCACCTTCACGCGCCTTGTTTTCGGTGACGGCCGCAAGCTTCTGCAGGTTCAACTTGACGACTGTATCCGCAAACAACCGCGTGTCCTCCTCGGTATTCCCTTCCGGCACGTCCACCACGTATGATTCCAAAACCAGGGTCCAGATCCTCCCCTCACGCTCGAACCCGTGAACCGTCGTCACCGACCTGTAATTCCTCAGCCTGTGCTCCCCACCGATGATACTGAACCCGAAAACGTGGCGGGCATCGTCCAGGATATCGAGCCTCTCCGTGCTGGTATCGGCGGGGAGACCGGAGATGACGTTGACGTCACGCGTGGCCCCCACGGTCATTTGGAAGCCTTCTTCGACGCTGCAGCTTTTGATGAAGTGCTTGTAGGTCTGGGGCTTGTCGAAGCGGCGGACGATGGACCAGACAACGTCCCCTGGGGCGTGGATGCGTTGGACGAGGAGGGAAGAGCATTGGCCAGGACCCACTGGGTACGTGTGGAACTCAGTGATGTAGGGGACTAACTCGGAGAACTCATCCTGGTTCACGCCGGATGGGACGGTAAGATGATGGGTCGATAGCTCGGGTTCCGGCGGTGGGTTGGCCATTGAAGGGGTGGCTTCTTGGTTGCTTCCTTTGATTAACTACTGAGTATGAGTACTGAGGGAAGAAGAGACACGAGAATAGAGGGGGGTTATAAGGGAGAGTGAATTTGGGTAATGCTGGAGGGTAATCTTGGAAAATCACACATTTAAATAAATACAGTTTATATTAGAATTTAAAATTGA